CTGTCAAATAAATAAATAAGATCTTTAAAAAAAAAAAAACAGACATTAAAGGTAAATAAGGGAAACCTATTGCATCGGACTGGAAGCCTAGAGGAAATGGGTGATTTCCCAATAAAAATGCACAATAATAAAATGGACCCTGAAATAAGGAAAAAACAGGCAGACCAATTAGCCATCCAGGGCCTCATCCTCCTGCTGCTTCTCCTCTCACTGTTCTGGGGTTTTCCTCTCCTAGGACAGAAAAGGAACAGGGACAGAACTGTTCTCGAGCTGCCCTTAGACCCGACCCCACTCACTGTCTTCCTCTCCCCCAGCCATACCCTGCTCAGCGAGGACACTGTGCACGGGGAGTCTCAGGGATTGTGGATCCTGATGTGTCACCCAGTTCTTTTTTGGATGGCAAGAGACTGGACACACTTACTAAAGTAAAAGAAGTTAATATATTTTAATGGTAGAAATACCTTAATACCTGCAAGAGACAAGAGTGGGTTTGGGCCTGGCAGGCCCAAAGGCTCACACTCTCACAATGTGACCTAGACCCTCTCCAACCCTCCATCCTGCTAAGCGCCCTGGGGTGGCCCCATTCATAGGCACAGTCTCTCTCACTGCATCTGGGGCCTCCCACAACTCCAGGCTGACACCCACTCACCATCCATTCTACTGGGAAGGGTTTCTCTTTCCCTTGGGTTCCATGAAGTCATGGCTTTAAGTGTCTTTGGCCCAGCTTGGGTCACACTCACATCCTTGAAGCCATCAGAGCACCCAGAAAATAGAGCAGGGGGTTGGGTAGACTTGGATCATACACCCATCTCTGAAGTGGGTGGAAAGTGGGGTCTGCCCTCTGGAACTGTCTGGATGGTAGGCAGGTGACATGGGATTCCCAAAGGCAAGCTGGACTTGGTGCTGGACTTGGACGTGAGAAGAGATGCCAGGCTGGGAAAGCAGCAGATTCCGCATCACTGGTGACTGACTGCACAGCTTTGGAATCTGAAGCCCAAGGAAGGAAGGGGTCACTTAGTTAGGGTCACGGGCTGCAGCCACCCATCCAGTGCTCTTGCTGTTTTCCCATGACAGCAAGGCGCTCTCCCACTTGGTGAAAAAGCAACTTTGCTGTTGGTAGGAAACTCAAGGCTCCTGCCTTGGATATTGGGTCCTCGCCTCTCAGAGACTGGAAGGCACACAGACCTCACTCTTCTCCCTGGGAGGAAGGAGCCCCGGAGTCACACCCGCCCCCCAAATTAATCGCTCCTCCCCAAAGAACAAACTGGCTCATTCTCCAGTCTCTTCTCTCTCCTTTATGAAGAACAGAGAGCAAATGTGAGGATGATAAGGAAAGTATCGCTCACTGAAACAGTGGGAGGCTCAAGGATTATTCCACACCACAAATCCACACATGACAGACTTTCTGGGGGCCACAGTCCCTGAATCATGCATGTGACTCTCTGAAACCAGGCAGCCTCACTGAGAAACTGCCTGCTGGGTGACACAGTTACTCCCATAACCTTAATTCTTAACAAATACGTATGTCAAAGGTTTACATCACAATCGGGAGGCCAAAGGATTGCAGGGTCAGTCTGCTGAATGGCTGTATGGCTGTTGTGGACAGGGCCACATCCAACATTTGGAGGGTTAAGAGACCGTGAAGGAGGAAGCACTTGTCTCAACCACACAGATGTTGGGAATGGAAACATCCTGTGGGGCTGTCTACACTGCCCATGGGCCTGTTACACTGCCAGGAGCACAGTCAGCTCAGTAATAGCTGTGGGGGTTGTCAGGACCCTTTCTGGCCTGAGCTGGAGGGCCACAGATGCCTCCCTGGATGGTCAGAGGCCAAGGGCTGTCCTGTCTACTGCCTGTTTCCTGCCGATCACTCAGATGGGATGAAGGATCTAGCCAGCGCCAGGGGGGGCCCCCAACAGCCCGCAAGAAGGCTGTACATGGGGGCGGGCAGGCCACGGCAGTCAGTCCTATATGAATCCATTCGTGTCTACAGAGTGCCCTCGTGGGGTGGGGCCGTGTCAGAACTTGCGGCTGCCCAGGCAGAGTGGGGCCAGCAGCACCCTCCCCAGGTGGGAGGGCGGAAGAACCCTGTATAACCTCTGAGACCCCTATAACCCTGACTGGGGATGAGTTGGATCTCAAACAGTCAGGGATCAGGTGGACATTTCACTTTTCTTCTGTCTGAGCCCAGGAGTCAAGGGCTGAAAACCAATGCTCCAGCTCACCTCTGACTCGTGTGTGACCCTGGGTGAGTCCTGTCTACCCTGGAGGCGCAGGGAGTTGGAGGAGGGGGAAGAAAGCCAATTACGCTTAAACCTAAACCCGATCCAGACCCCGGCCCTGACCCCAGCCCATGACCCTCACCCCAACCCACCCAGATTCTCAGGCTGATCCACACTTGCATCATGAACAGGCCCAAATCAGTTTTAGGGCCTCTTCTCCAGAGAGCTGCTCAGCTCTGCACTCCTGCCCACATGCCCATGGAGGTGGCCCTGCCTCCTGAGGACGCACAGGTTGCTGACTCCCACACCTCTTGCATACATCACCCAGCAGCATGGTGGGGTTTGTTTTGATGTTTTGTTAAGTTTTATTTTAATCCAAGGACTTTGATTCATACCAAATGTCACTGTAGAAACAATAGCAGAATCCAAAGTCTGGGTGATCAATATTACTCAGGCAGCAAACTCGTCAATCACAGGATTGTTTTAAAGCAGGTCCCAGTTGTGTTGCATGGTTGGGACTTCTTTTTGGGGTTTGTTTTTTTTTTAACACTGTTCTTAAAGTTTTGCAACAAACCTTTGATTTGTATCAAATATAATTAAAAATTAACAAATGAGTACATTGTATCAAAAAGCACGAAGATCTACATTTCATGCACATACTCATATATATGTATATATGTATATATTTTACATGCACACATAACTTATTCAAACTACGGCCACTGCTTGACTGGTCCAGATGCAGACAACTGGTTAATGCATTTCAAATTTGGCAACTCACTATGAGATCTCAGTGGAAACATATGATAGCTGAGAAGAGACGATACAGAAACAAAACCCAAAGTCAGGAAAACAAGACACAGTATCTCTTCCCCCACTCCCTGTAGTTTTCACCAATTCCAGTGTCTAGAAGAATCCAGACAGACTGGTGAGGCCCTGTGGGGCTAGAACAGCATGGCCTAGGAAGCAGCTGCGGTTCTGCACAGAATGGATACATTCACAATAACATGGGCCAGAGATGAAACATCAGTATCAAAATACACATTCTTCTGCTTTGCAACAGGAACAGAGCTATCTCATGCAGAGTCTGAGATACCATTCCAGTTATTATTTCCTATTGCAGTAAAATACTCTGTAATCTTAAAAGTTTCAGAGTGTTGTGCCTTCCAGTAAGGAGATTCTCTAAAATGGTTTGGTCACAATCATGCTGAAACCCTAGAACGGGTGGTGGTCTTACGTGATTTATTTCTATTGAATGTGTGTCTTTTGTTGCATAGCCTTATGGGTTAAGGACATCCACTCACTGGGACACACCTCCACACAGAGAAACGCACACACACGTCACAGGCCAAGTTTCTTTAAGGTGAGTCATGGGACAACAGCCAATGGGAACACTCAAATGATCCAGCGAAGAGATCATCTGACATTTCCAAACACGGAGGATGCACCAAAATCTAATCATCTAAATATTCCTTTTGTTCATGAAACAAAGGGTCTCCCAGCATTTTATGCACAGCCTCCTACCTACGGTGTTTCCCTTTTGACAGTGGCCATGAGGTTGGATTTCCCTTTCGCTTCCTGCTTTCCCGTGTCTTGTGTCACAGTGCTGGGCTTCAGATGGCTCCTACCTGAGCCTCAGTCGCCAAGCTTCTCCTTGCCCCATCGCTTCCTCAGAGTTTTGGCCTCATTTCAGTCGGGGCATCCCAAGTGCCCGCACCTGCACAGACACAGGCCCTCCCTCCTGCCCGCCTGGTCCATCTCCACTCCCCCACCTCTCCCTCTTCCCACGACCTCTCCGTCTCTTTGGGCTTATCTGAAAAGAAACTTTCACGACAACAGATACCACGCCCTCTTTGGCAGGCATCCCGTCCCTGAGAGTCAGATGTAGAACAGACTGAAAACACCCCATACAAGGACACGCTCTACACTGCTCTGTGGCTTCCCAGGAAACCCTTCCACTCGTGGGAGGAAAACAGGGAAATGGTCGCTTCGTTTCCAACTACAACCGTCCCACTGGATGTCATATGAGTGTTCTCCACGGACACCAGCTTTCTACTTGGTAGATATTTGGAACTGGAAACAGTTCCAAGGATTCACCCATGCTTCATACAGGCTTCACGTCACTGCCCCCAGGAGCCTGGCACGAGAGGGTTCGGAAGTCAGGCACTTGGTCGAGAGCAGCAGAAGCCAGGGGAGCTGGGGGGCCACCCAGGCTGGACGCAAGAGCATCTCCTCGCACAAGACACACACACCCACCCACCCACACACCAAAGAGTTGAGAGCTTCCTACAGGTTGGATTTTTTTTAAGTTCTGTTACTATTTCCTTCCCCATTTTTCTGTTTTCCTCTTCTTTCTAGATCAAGTATATGGAATTGACAAAAGAGGGAAGGGAGTTTCGATTAAAAACCAAAACCAACAGCAAGAATGTTTTCCAGATTTGGTCCCTGTCAAGGTTGACAGCATCTGGGAGAGGACAGAGAGTGTGTGAGAGTATTTCAGGTGTCCACCTGCTGTTTCAGGTACAAGAGCCATGCCGGATGTGTTTGTGTTTGTGGGTGCCGACAAGAATGCACGGAGCCACAGGCCGGGCTCCCGAGGCTACTGCTGTTGACCATCAACTGTCTTATCTGGCCAGGCGTGTAAACATGCCGGGCTCCGTACCACACACGTGGATAAAGGATGGTCTCTACCAGATCCAGACCTCCTAAAAGTGGCCCCGAGCACACCCCCCAGACGCTGGGAGCCATCACACAGGATTCAGACTGACAGGGTCCCACTCAGCACATGCAGCGACTTCCCGTGTAGGGTCTGTGGTACGAGACCCAGGCAGGCAGCATACAAGGGGACAGAGAGAGCCACGTCCCTCTCCGAAACGGCTTTAGGAATTGGTCCAGCGCGAAAGAGGAGGTGGGGGCGGAGGGGTGGGGGGAACCGTGGGGCCTCCCCCCAGCTGGCCCCAAAGGTGCGGCCCCTCCTCCCAGGGGCTGCTGCCCCTGCACGTCCCTGGGAGGCCAGCGTGGATGATAAAACTCATCGGCTGGAACGCGCCGTTGAGGAGGCGTGCGGCGGAGGTGCGGCTCGCACCAGTGGTCTTGGTCGGGGTGGTGGTAGCTATGCAGAACCCGGCCGCCCGAGCTGAGCCCCAGAGTGCAGTGGTAGCCGTTGGGCATGCGGCGGAGGGGGTGCGACTGGGAGGTCAGGGAGGACACATAGGAAGTCCGGGAGGAGCGGCCTGAGTTGGTGGCCACAGCCTCCTCGAAGGTAAGCGTCTCCTCGGGCTGGGTGCGGACAGTGTCCTCACTGTCCAGACACTGCCCCAAGTAAGGGTCAGAGCCGATCCTAGAGCCGGCGGCCAGGGGCTGGCTGAGGGGGTCTCTCTGGTGCAGAGCGTTGTGTTCGGAAAGGCCACGGCTAAGCCGGCCCGGGGAAAAGGTGGGGAGGCTGGTCTGTGCCCCAGCAAAGTGGACAGGCGAAGAGTTGGCCATCTTGTAGGTGACACTGGGACGGGGGGTCAGCGGAGTCTGGGGGAGCTGCCTCTGCCCACCATGGCCAGGGGTGCTAGCCCCGGATGTTGACAACAAGGGGCCCCCATTCACTGAACCACCACCCTACAAGCAAATAGAACAGAGAAAAAAAAATATCAAAGTCCCAGACCAGAGGCCAATGCAGGTGAGCACCATGGAGGTGGGGGGTGAGGCATGGAGAGAGGCAGGCACCCTGGGAGGGGACCGGTAGGGTGTGTGGTGGAGGGGAGAAAGCCGCTGGTGCCGGTAGGCCTGGGGAGGTGGTTGGGGAACAGTGGGTAACAAAGGGACAGGCACAGCTCGGGGAGAAGGGAGACCAGAGGCCAGTCCAGGGCAGTTGGGAGGGGAGGATCGGGCTGGTGCGGGAGGAATGGAGCAAGGAGGGGGGAGCGCAGACTCGGGCCTGGGAACCAGGACATGAAGGAGGATTCGGAGCATGGTGGAGGGGGGGCTCGTAAGGAGGGGCAGTGAGGGGGGTCCTGTCTTACCGGTCTCGGGGGTCCTGGCTCCTGCCCAGCTGTTGTTGACGTGGGGTGGCTGCTGAGGGAGGGTTTGGGCTGTGAGGGCTCCCGAGTGGTCACAGGAGTAGAAACGCTGCTTCTCCGAGGAAGAGGAAGAGGGCTGCCTCCGCTCTTGGGACCAGCCCCGCTCCTGTCTGCGCTCCCTCCGGCAGCCTGTGGGCCCCTCTCCCGGGGGTGGGCCTTGGCCCTGCAGCACTGCCGGGTGCTGGCCAGGAAGAGCGGAAGTCAGCACAGCGAGCCAGGTGGGGAGACAGACCCCCGGCCCAGATCCAGTCCCCAGGGCCAGCAGGGGGACCCAGGGGGAGAGCTGAGGTGCGTGGGTGATCCTGCCTGGTCCCCAGACCTGGGACTCACAGCCCCCTACTCAGGGCCATTTGGATGTTGGAGGCACAGAAAGGAATGCCTCAGGCCCTGGCCATAGGAGGGACCCCCGCACGCACCGCCATCTGTGTCTGCGGACAGGCTGGGCCCCTTCTCCAAGGATTTCTGCTTTCTGTCCCTGCGGTGATGGCAGCAGTGGTGGTGATGGGGCGCAGCCTGGCTGGCTGGGGCACGGTCCAGGGCAGCGCTGCAGAGATGAGCCACGTGGGGACGCTGGGGCGCCAGTGTGGAGGTGGAGCGCTTCATGGGGCTGGCGTTGGGGGCCGGCTGCGGGTGGGATGTGGGTTGGCATACAGTCTGAGAGAGGGGCCTGGGGCAGGCTCCAGGGCGGCCCTGCAGGCCTGGGGTTCAGGAACCACCAGGCCCCTCCCTCTCCCCAGAAAGCTCTTCCCCACCCAGGTCCACCCTTTCTCCCAGAGCACGCTGCACAAGGTGCTGTCCATCTCTGCCAGCGGGGCCCAGAGAGCTGTTGGCCTCAGTGTCCCTGGGAGACAGGGAGGATGCCAGGAAGAGGGAGGCTGCGGGCCTGGCTGGGAGAACCCTGAGGGGTGGCTGCGTGTGATGGCTCTGCTGGGCCAGGGCCATGGGGCTCCTGCCCTGGGCTGAAATCGGGACCTGCGGAAAGGGGCCCTCCAAGAGGAGCTGACCCACAGCCTCCACTCGGCGTCCTCAAGCTGGCCGCCCAGCGGGCCAGGCTCAGGAAAGGGAAGAAGGCGGGAGCCACCACCAATGGGAGGCAGAGACAAGTTTAGAGAATGAAGTCATTTGGAATGTGCAGAACCAAGAACCACAAAAGGAGGCAGGGACAGGGCCAGCCCCAGGCAAACACTGAAGGTCCCCGGCTGGAGGACATGCCCCTCTAAAGCCCCTCACCATCCCAGGAAGTGAAAGCAGGGCCCCCTGACACAGCCTCAGGTCTGCAGGCCACTCTCTGAGTCCTTGTGAATGGGCCCACAGCCCCCTTGCCTGGAGCTTCCTGCTCGGTACTCAAAGCATCCCGAAGGAGCAGGGGATGGAGGTGGTGCTGCCTCCAGAGTCCAGAGAAAGAACAGGGCAGGCCGGGCGCCTGGGTGGCTCAGTTGGTTAAGCGACTGCCTTCGGCTCAGGTCATGACCCTGGAGTTCCAGGATCGAGTCCCGCATCGGGCTCCCTGCTCAGCAGGGAGTCTGCTTCTCCCTCTTATTCTCCCCCCTCTCCTGTGCTCTCTCTCTCAAATAAAATAAATAAACTCTTTTAAAAAAAAAAAAGAACAGGGCAGGTCATCCCCAGAGCATCGATGGGGAAGAGGGAGGACCAAGCTGTGAGGCACCGTGTGCATGGCAGGGGAGCCGGAGGGGGGGGGGCAGTGCAGGCTGGCGTGGGAGAGGGATGTCCTAGAGAGAGGGAGAGTCTGGGTCAGGGACACTGGGCTGGGAGATGGAAGCCCCAGGGCCACCGCAGGAGGCTGAGCACAGGTGGGTGGTGGGGATTCCTGGCAGGCCTCCGAGGACTCTGGCTGCACCTCTTGAGACCATCATCCAGGGAGCTCCCAACAGGGCTGACAGTGTCCAGGCCGCAGTGCAGGTAGGGAGCCTTCACGTGGGCCCTCCCATGACCCTGACCCTCCCAGACCACCCACCTGAGTCTCTGCAGCCGGGCGAGGCATGGAGGCCGCGCGTCCCTGGTTCTCCAGTCCGGGTTGGGGCTCCCCGTCAGGACCTCTCAGGGCCATGCTCTGCATCTGGACGTCCACAGCCTGGGCATACAGCAGCCCGCAGTCACACCAGCCCCCACCCCACTCTCACCTTCTCCCCCACCCTGGGCTCCCCGCCACACTCCTGCCATCTCCCACCATTCCCCATCGGGTTTCCTGGCTGCACCACTGGGATCTCTGTAGAGTGGCCACGCTCCAGGGGTATCCTTGCCTCATAGGGTACCTCCTGGGTCCTCTGAGTACCCCAGGAAACAGACTCCTTGATGCCACTCTCCTGGGTTTGTCTGTAGAGAAGAGAGGATTGTGCTGTTGGCTCAGAGGTCTGTGCGTCATGGAATGAGCACCAAGGACCTGGCTCCAACCTGCCAGGAACCTATACTGGCCCCTTCTACTCTGGGTTAGAAGCAGCCCAGACGCATGAGGCCCTTCAAGTGCAGGCTCTCAAGTGGCCACACAGCAAGGGATGTGGACCCAGTGCCAGGGCTCAGAGCAGATGGACAGAGAGGGCCCCCGGACATGAGTCCGAGGGAGGTCTGGGCCCACTGCTTCCTGATCTAGGGACACCTGGCAGGTTCCTCGGCCCTAGACAGGGCCTCCCAGGAGTAGTGAGAGGCCACAGGTGCACAGCATGCATGACGCAGAGTGCGGACATCCTGTCTACGTGGGTGCACAGCAAGCCCTGACCACTACGTTAGGGGCAGTGTAGTACTCAGGAAAACCTACCTGATTAACAGTCCAAGACCCACAACCAGGCTTCAGAAAAGAACGTCCAAACATGTACAGATGAGGAGGAAATCAGGAGCCCTAAACATGCAGGCTGTGCCCAGTCTGGTACCAGGCCCCACACCTTAGCCCTTGCTGGATGAGGCAGAGCACAGGCCCCCCTCTTTGGACTCAGCCAATGATTTCCTTTGGCCAATAGGGTATTAGCAGACCTGGGACCCTGCTGGCCCTGAGGGGGGTGGCTGAGAGGAGCCTGCCTGCTACACATCCCCCAGCGACACACGGTGCAAGACAGGTAGGTGACTGTTAGTTCACAACACTTGGTTTTGGGTGGTTCATTACCAAGAATTATTGTGGCAAGAGTTAGGGGTTAGGTAACAAGGACGTTACCAATTTGTCTACAAAATACAGTTCCTTCAGAAATCACTACTGGAGTAGAAATCTGAGGAAAAATGTCTTAGAGGAGTTAGGACGACTAAACACACACAGGCCGTCAACAGAATGGGGTCGAAACAAATCATTTCTCAATGGGCAGTGAGGAAGCAGAGGCAGAGGCCCCTCACCGGAAAGGGAAATGGGCACGCACAATGGGAGGTGACAGTGGGAACCACCGACTGTCTAAATCCACTGACCTCGGTGCCATCAGAGGCACCCATGTAACGTTTCGGGAATTAGCTTTGGAGTCCACCATGGACCGCTCCAGCAGCCCGCCTGGACTAGCTTTCAGGCAGCATCCGCGGGGAAACATCTGGGGGGAGGTGGGCACGGGGTGGAACAGAGAGACCAGTCTCCAAAAGTGGTGATGGGACCTGAGGGCTCCATGTCCTGCAGCACAGCCTACAGGGAGCCCCTCTGGGAGGGGGAGAAACCAGGAGTCCTGCCTCCTCCGTGCACCTCGCACCCTGGCCAGGTACTCACACGGCCCCGCCGTTGCTGAGGGACGCAGAGCTCTTCTGCCGAAGGAAAACCCGGGCTCCTCGGAGCACAGCCGGCTGTGTCTGCTCCAGCGTGGCCTTCAGAGGGTGGAACAGGGACACAGGGCCCATCTGTAGAAGGGACGCAGGGAAGAGGAAGAGCTTTAAGGGCAGAGAGAGGTGTGCCAGAAAGCTGGCCTGAACCCACAGCATGGGTTGGTGCTCCTTCTGCCCTGCCCCAGCCCTACACAGGAAGTAGGCGGGGGCTTACCCCCAACCTGGCCTGTGAGTGACATCAGGAAAGTCATTTCACTTCTTGGAGCTTCAGTTTCCCTACCTACAAAATCTGGGGACCTCATCCAATTACAAATGGTAAAAAGATTTCATCTCATCATCAACTTGGATTGATGGGTAGAGGCTGCATGAGCCCTGGACTGAGCAGAATTCTAAGGACATTTCAGGGCTCGGGGTGCGGTGGGGGGGCACTGATGGGTGTCTGCAACAGACAGGGGAACGGGGGTTGTGGTGTGGGCATCAGATACTTCCCATCCCACAATGGGTGAATGTCCCTGTAAGCTCCGAACACCAGGCAACTTTCTAGACAGAGTCTACCTACGGTCACTGATGGTTTGGCTGCATGGGAAAGTTGTTATTTTTGAAGGATGACATCGGGAAGATGGGGCCCCAAACCAGCCCAGTCAGAGTCATGAGTGGAAGAAATCATGACCCTGGACCCATCAGTTTGATTCTCTCCAGTCCCTGCCAATGTGCACGGTAATCAGGTTCTCCTCGAACCTCCCCAAACAACCTCCTCAAATATTCTTCAAACTTCTTTCTTCTACCACTTAAAAAGTGGTATCTCCAGGGAACATGTCCTCAGCCCCTTGTCTACTGCTCCTGAACACTAGGTCTCCAAGTCAGGGGGCCCCCAGTACCAGCAAGAGACCAGCCGTTGGAAAGCATACAGGCTGTATGGGGTTTCTGACTGTGGGGCCGGAGAGTGAGGGTACACTAAGAACCTCTCATCTTCCTTTTCCCGCCGTGCAATCCCCAGGAAGGATGTGGGTTTCCTCTGCCATCCAAACAACTGACGGGTGCCAGAGTCTGAGGTTTACTTCTTGGAAATCCTGGAACTCTGTACCTGGGACAGGCTTCCCGTGGCCTGGTGAATCTGGGCTCTGGGGGTCTTGTTCTGTTTGTGGAATTCAAGTATCATCAGAGCTGCGTACACCTTTCCTACGGTCATCTCATCGGCTGGAGGGAGAGAAAACAGAGGGTGGAGTGTGGAGGAGGAAGGGGAGGTGGGGGGCAAGGGAACAGCCTCCACCACAGGGACTCCTGGACATGCTCAGGGAAGGGCACAGGGTTTGGCCGAAGTTGCATCTTTGGGCACTGAGCACGTGTCCTCTGGAGCTGTACTGACTCTCCACAGGGCCCTCCATCTCCTCCCAATGAAGTGGATGTGGGGTTTAATCTTTAAGCACCTCATCTCTAACTGTAGGAGTCTCCCTGCTGTTCTCTGGATTTTTTTAAGTATACACCCCCAGCAGGAACGTGGGTGACTGTGGTCAACAAAATAAAGCCCAGGGAATCCGTTCCCACAGTCCCTATGCACCCACTGGTAAGACCGTTCTCCCTGCAGGTAGAAACTAAGTCTAGACTATTGACGAGGTCACCCTGGCCCAGGCCTCCTGGCTCTGCCTCTGGGTGGGACACAAAAGGGGGGTGACCAAGGAGAATTTCTTGCCCTCACTTACGTTTATGGGGTGGCACCAGTAAATCCAGGGTCTTCTGGGGCAGATTGGCCCACACAGAGGAAATCTCCTTCCTCAACTCTGCATCCCACTGATGCTGCTTGGTGCCGGCTGGGGCAGGACAAGGGTGTGGAGGGGAAGAGAGATGTCAGGAGCTGTCTCACGGGCCCCCTGGGGGAGCCGGCAGGGAGAGGTGTGGTGTGAGGGGAAACGGGGCAAGGACGGTGCCAGGAGAAAGGGCAGAGCGGGGAGAAGCACGGCCACGGCGGCTGTCAGAGCGTCCCTGATGGGCACGTGCAGAGACAGAGGCCTGTGTGCGTGGGCCCTGGGAGTGGAGAAGGGATATGGTGGCGGTCCAGCTGTTCATCCAGCCATTCAAAACTATCAGGTGAGCACCCTCCCGTGCCAGGGACTATTCTAGGTGATGGAACAAAAGCAAAGGAGCCGCCTTTGTGGCACCGTGTGGCTTGACTCAACAATAAATTGGCAGTAAGTTCAAAACCTAGTGTGTTGGGTGCAGAAAAAGCTTAAGTAGGGAGGGATGAGAAATATTAGGAGGGCTGAAATTTTGGACAGGGTAGTCAGGAAAGGTCTCATGAGAAGGTGGTGTGTGTGTAAGTCCCCGAAGGCAGAAAAGGACCAGGGGGTGCAAAGGTCTTGGTGTGTCACACAATCAGCCAGGAAGGCAAGGCTCACTGAGCAGGGGGTGGGGGTGAGGGGTTGCAGGGAGCAGATGTTGAGATAGGAAGCAGCAGAGGGTGATAAGCAGAGGGATAAAATACTCTGATTGATCCTTTTTTAGCATCAGGTTTACTATGGTATAATGTACATACAATGAAATCCACCCTTTTCTGTTATCCCGTTCTATGAACTTTGGTAAATGCATAAAGCCGCGCATCCACCCCCACAATCGAGACATGGTATATGGCCCCACTGCCAAAGTCCCTCTGTGCTCCCTTTGTAGCTGACCCCTTGGCCTCCTCTCACCCCGTCCCATCCCTAGTGTGTTTTCTGTCTCGGTCTGTTTTGCCTTCTCCAGAATGCCACACAAACAACGTCATCGGGTGTATTGGCTTTTGAGTAGGACTTCTCCACTCAGCGTGGTGCCTTTGAGATTCAGTCCATGTTGTTGAGTGTATAAGTAGCCTGTTTCTTTTGACTGCGGAGTACTACCTTATGGTATGGATAGACCACAATTTGTTTATCCATTCACCAGTTGTGAACATTTGAGTGGCTTACATTTTGAGGTGATTATGAAATAAAGCTGTGAACATTTGCATATATGTTTTTGTGCAGATGTATGTTTTCTTTTCTTCCCACTTAGGAGTGGGCTGGCTGGGCCGTACGGTAAGGAACTGCCAAGGATCACAAGAATTCCACATTATGCATTCTCACCAGGACTTAATATTGTCATTTAGAAAAGCATTTTAGTCGTGTTAATAACCATGTAGTGTTATCTTACTATGGCTTCATTTTGGATTTCTCCCAACCAAGTACTAACCAGGCCCGACCCTGCTTAGCTTCCGAGATCAGACGAGATCGGGCACGTTCAGGGTGGTATGGCCGTAGACTTCATTTTGGATTTCTCTAATGATTAATGATATTGAGCATCTTTATAGGTGTTTCTTTGCCTTCCATATATATTTTTTGGTGACAGGTCTATTCGAATCCTTTGCCCATTTTTATTAGGTTGTTTATTTTCTTATTACTGAGTTGTGACAGACCTTTATCTATTCTGGAAACTGATCCTATATCAGATACATGGTTCAAAAATATCTTCACCAATGCTTTAGCTTTGTCTTTTCATTTTCTTAAATGTCTTTTTGAAGAGCAAAAGTTTTTAATGTTGATAAAGTTCAATTTTTCTTTTATGGCTCATGCTTTTGGTGTCTTCAAAAATCTTTGCCAAACTCAAAATTGCCAAAATCTCTCTCCTGTGTTTCCTTCTAGAGGTTTTATAATTTTACATTTTACATTTATGTCTACGATCAATTTCAAGTTAATTTTTGTAGGAGGTAAAAGGTATGTGCTATGGACTGAATTGTGTGCTGCCCCTGTTCACATGTTGAAGCCAGAACCCTCATTGTGACTGTATAAGGCCGAGAAGGAGGCAATTAGGTGAAATGAGGTCAGAAGGGTGGGACCCTGACCCAGAGAGTTAGTGTCCTTATGAGAAGAGACACCAGAAAATTCGTTCACTCTCTGTATGCACTCAGGGAAAGACCATGTGAGCACACAGTGAGAAGGTGACCACCCTACAAACCAGGAGAACAGGCCCAGGAATGAAACTTACCTTCCTGGCACCTTGATTTGGACTTTCAGCCTCCAGACTGTGAGAAATCAATATCTGTGTTTAAGCCACTCAGTTGTGGTACTTTGTTATTGGCAGCCCAAGCAGACTAAGACACTAAATGTCAAGATTTTTCCCTTTTTTGGATAGTTGTCTAAATTTTTCAAGTACCATTTATTGAAAAAAATTATCTTTTCTTCATTAATTGCCTTTACAACTTCATCAAAAATCCATTGGCAATGTAAGTACGAGTCTCTATTGTGTTCCACTGACCCATGTCTCTGTCCTGTCACCAACACAATACGCCTCAATTGACATGCTTTATAGAAAGTCTTTGATTCAGGTAGAGTAAGTTTTCTTTGTTCTCTTTTCAAAATTGTTTGTTATTCAAGTTCTTTTGCTTTTCTAGATACATTTTAGAATTCGTTTGTACATTTCTATCTAAACACCTGTTGGGATTTTGATTGGGTGAACATTTATTCTATTGATGAATGTGGGAAGAACTGACATCATGACAATATGGAATCTTCCAATGCATGAAGATGATGCAGTGCTTAATTTTTAGATCTTCTTTGCTTCTTTCAATGTTTTGAAATTTGCAACATACAGATCTCACATATATACTTTTTAGAGTTATCCAACAACAAAGAAGTACTTCATGTTTTTGGTGTGATTTTAACGGAACTTTTTCCCATTTCAATTGTTAATTGCTAATATATAGAAATACATTTGCTTCTTGCACACTGACCTTGTATCCTGTGACCTTGCTCTATACTTGTAGATGGTTTTAGTTACTTTTTTTAATGGCTTAAAACAACAGAAATTTATTATCTCAGTTCTGGAGGCCAGAAGCTCAAAGTCAAGGTTTCAGCATGACCGTGCCTCCTCCAAATGTTCTAGTGAAGAATTCTTCCTTGCCCGTTTCTAGATGTTGGTGGCTCCCAGCCATCCTTGGCATTCCTTGGCCCGTAGATGCCTCCATTTTATTCACTTTTTCTTAGAGTCTTTCAAATTTTCTCCATAATCATGTCAATTGTGAATACAGGCAGTTTTATTTCTTCCTTTCCAATTGGTATGCCTCCTATTTCTTTTTCTTAACTCATTACAATGGCTAGGACCTAACATATGATGTTGAACAAGAATGGTGACAGCAGACATCCTTCCTTTGTTCTTGATCTTAGGGGAAAAGGAGTTAGTCTTTGTTAAGTGTGTCATTCGCTGAAGGTTTTTCATAGATATCCTTGATCAGATGGAGGGGGCTTCCTTCAGTTTCTACTCTATGCAGAATTTTTTAAATCATGAATAGATACTGAATTTTTGTGAAATGCTTTTTCTGCATCTATTGAGTTGATCATATAGTTCTACTTCTTTGATAAATTATATTGATTGATTTTTTATACTTGAACTCAACTTGCATTCCTGGGATAAACCCTACTTTTGTCATCAAGCAAACAGATATATATACAGCCAGACTCAGTCTGAAAAAACTGGGTGGAATATTTTTGTGTCTACAGTCATGAGGGATACTGATCTGTCACTTTCTTTTCCTATAATGTCTTTGTCTCATCTTAGTGTCGGAGCAATGTCAGCACAATATGGTCAGTTGAGAAATATCCTCTTTTTCGTTATTTTCTGGAAGAGTTTATATAGAGCTGGTATTATATTCCCCTTAAGTGTTTGGTGGACCTCACCTATGGAGCTAACTGGGTTGGGGATTTTCTTTGTTGGAAGGCTTTTAACTCTAAGTGCAGGTACCTTATATCCTGATATAAGCTGTGCAGGTGGCCGAGGCACCCTATGGGTATATATACCTATATATAACTATATCTATGCCTCCCATAGGCAATAAGTACCTATGTTATTTATTGTATCCAAATTGAGAAGATGGAGGTTGGCTGAACCTACTGTGGTAATCATTTCACAATCGATGTAAATCAAACCACCCTGCAGCACACCTTAAACTTATACAGCAATGTATGTCAATTATTTCTCAATAAAACTGGAGGGGAACAGGATGGGGCGCCTGCTTGGCTCAGTCAGTTAAACGTCTGCCTTCAGCTCAGGTCATGATCGCAGGGTTCCGGGATCGAGCCCCGCATCGTCAGCTCCCTCCTCCGGGGGGAGTCTGCTTCTCCCTCTCCTTCTGCCCCCCTCCCATCATGTTCTGTCTCTCGCTCTCTAATAAAATCTTTAAAAAAAAAAAAAACTAGGGGGGAACAAAGGCCTCCTGGAAAATGGGAAAGAAGTCCTTTTGCATTTGAAGAGTTGGTTGGTTTTCTGTGTGGAACTTCCCTTTGCATAATGACAAGTGGAGTACTGCCACTGTTGTTCTGAGATGGTCTTACTTGGAAACCATGAATGTAACATTGAAACAGCAACTGATTAAGATTTATGAAAAATATGGTTATCATATTTCAAAGATTTCTTATTTCTTGTGTTGTGATCCAACTAACATCAAAAGTGTATTTGAAAGGCTTCACAGGTTTTATTCTCCAAAAGAATATCCAAAATTGTATGGGATCCTTGTTGTGTTGCGTATACAGGACATTACCACTGGATATGACGGCGGCAAGCCTAATCAGAAATCAGTGTTGCCTGTGGGTAAAAACGGCAGAGTGATTACATCCCCTTCTCAAAATGGCTGTGTTGGTGGTCCTTGGACGAGCAGCACGGAACCAAAGACAAAGTACTCTGCAGAGACTTGAGTACTCCCTGACCCGGAGATGGGAGTGACAGAGCCTTATTGGAAGAAGAATTGAAGAAGCTCATTTAAGCTCGGATTTAAAATTCGTGTGGGCCCAGTTAAGGATGAAACAGAACAACCA